CGTTCATATAACGCTAATCACTAAAAAGCTGTCACTCACTTCAATTTATCGCAATCTCACGATTCCGTGATATGAAGCTCTCAGAACTGCAAATAATATCGTATTTACATTGTGTCTATGTGTGGCGTTTAGCATTCAGTGAATTCTGACTGTGTCACCCTGTATCTATTTATATATTTCTTTATTAATATCTTAATATATTATTATATCTTATATTAATCATTTGCACACACGAGCATTATCCGGCTCCGCTCCTCCCGACCGCAGACGCAGGTTTACAAGCCACTTTTTCCTGCGTTTTTCAGTCAATTTCTTGACTTTTTCCCCCTTATAAACAACATATTTTCGTACACGATAAAAGCTCCTTGTGGTTTCTCGGTTTGGTCGATTTGAGCATCCATAAACAACGCAAAACACAGGCATTTTGAGTTTTGTTAGTGATTTCTATGGAGAAAAATCACTTCCTGCCCTCCAGTTGCATTTCGCGCGTCATCAGAATCACGTGATTGCAAACAACCTATTGCTGCTAAACTCCGGGAAAGTTTTCAGTCCAGTGATCCAGCAAGCGAATCCATTCAAGCAACCAGTCCAAAACAGGGCTAATGTAAAGAAAACCAAGCTGATTACATAAGAGATGGCGGAGAGAATAGATACTCGCGTTGCATTTTCAGTGAATGATTAATTTCAGTGTGTTTCGCTTTAAAACACAAGCTCTGTGATTGTTTCTGAAGAGCGCGAGAGATCACTCACGCGTCGCGCAGTGTGAAATACAGACTGAACGTAACGTCAAAACATCCCACCACTGTATGATATGCAAACTACGTTTTTTCGGCTGGATAAAGCAAATCAGCTTCTTTTGATGTTTGAGTTTTGATGGTTGAGGATTGCAATCAAGCAAGACAATTGCTGTGACGTACAGGAGTCGTAAGCACACGTGAGTCTGATAGACCGTGTTTAAGCGCTCTTGACGCACAGATACAAATACAAATGTTGTATTCATGCACAGACACATTTCAGTACATTCCCGTTGTTTCCACACACATTCAGGATAATGTTTTGATTTGTCTTGTGTATGTTGCTGTGTTCAGTCAGTGTGCACAAATGTATCAATTATAACTTCTTACATCATTTGGTTCTTTAGTGTCCTTTTGGAGTCTCCCGAGTATACTTTTTTTGAAAAGATATCTAAATTTATCTTGAAATAAACTTGCAGAAAATACAGTTTTGTGAGAATCATCCTTCAATCTTTTGGTTTACTTTGCTTGATATAGTAAATAATGACAAAATTTACGTATTAAGCAAGATAAATTACATATGCTTAATTTCATGATAAGTGTGCAATTAATTGCGATTAATCGCACCCTTTTTGTGGGATTAATCCCACACTTATCACTTATTAAAAATGTTAATCTATTGACAGCCCTAGTAAAAACACAAACAATAGTATATAAATAATACTTAAAAATGGTTAAACTTACATAGCATGTTATTTACTTCCTTTCTTTTACTTATTTTTGCAATAATAGTGTATATTTGAATAATGAAACAATTGAGCAAAAGAAAGAAAATTAGAAAATGAAAGGAATTTTCAGAGCCACAAATTAGTCACTTTACCTCCCTCTCTGCCTCTCTTTCTCTCTCTCTCGATAAACTGGCTGCATTTCAGAGTCTGCAGAGAGAGCGATAGCTATTGAATTTCACCTCACTACCATTGACTAAAGCTTCTCCCCCTCTGGTCTCTGTGAAGCGATGCCATCGCAGACTGTTTCACTGCCTCCAGATGGGTAATCGGCTGGCCAATTGGCAAAAACAAAGGACAACAGGGTGCATTGTGGTCAGCTTCCTTCAATGGGTGGACAGCACACAAGACGTACACTGGTGTCACATTCTTTTGTGAGTGACAAATTGGCTGGGGACCACACGCCTTGTTACATCTATCTCTCGAGCTGATCGTTTTTATAAAGCCCAGCTCCAGGACTCATATTGCCCATGCGGTCCCACCGGAACCCCTCACCAGAGCATCTGATAAGAGCAGCAACTGTCTGTCTTAATTAGAAGTTCACGTAAGGCCATCTCCCTCGTGGATCTCGCTGATATTGATTAAAGGAGAGCAGGAGATCCAACCGAACGCGACTGCTCGGGGCACAAGACGGCCAACTGATGGATCCTGGAATGCTGGGAAACAGCGTGGAGCTGCACTGATGCTGGAACAATCTTAACAGACAGACCCAGGATGTGATATGGCACGACACATGAGTTTTAAGTGGTTTGTGGAAATAGAAAGTGGTTGCTATGGTGTTTCAGGTCAGAATGTTAACGTTGCAGTGTTGCTATGGTGTTAAAATTAACTTGCGATCCGTGTGGAGCTGCAGTCCTTGAGGAACTGAGTGAACGCATTTACTCAGATAACACAATTCATAGACATTAGCAGTCGGTCGGGTGTCGATTATACATGAAATGGGGTTTGAAACCCATTTACTTCCATAAAGTGAAATATTTCTGTGTGAAACTTGATTTGGATCTAATTTGTAATTGATTTGATTGTAAAACGTAGCTGGGGATGGTGAGCCAAAAAGTGAAGTCATTTCAGAGACAGTGCACTATTATTATGATGAAAACTTGTTTACATGCTCAGATAAGACCAGTTATGTGCATTAAAAGGATAGCTCACCCAAAAATGAAAATTCTGTCATTAATTACTCATGTCGTTCCAAACCCATAGGACCTTCATTCATCTTCAGAACACAAATTAAGATATTTTTGATGAAATCCAAGAGCTTTCTGACCCTGCATAGAAAGCAACGCAACTACGACATTCAAGGCCCAGACACATAGTAAGGACATCGTTAAAATAGTCCATGTTATATCAGTGGTTCAACTTTAATTTTATGAAGCTTTTTGTGCACAAATAAAACAAAAATAGCGACTTTATTCAACGATTTATTTTCTTCCGTGTCAGCCTTCGGCGCGTTCACAAGAGTTGTATTCTCAAAGCTTCATAAAATTATGGTTGAAGCACTGATGTCACATGGACTATTTTAATGATGTCCTTACTATCTTTTTGGGCCTTGAACATGGTAGTTACATTGCTGTCTATGCAGGGTCAGAAAGCTCTCGGATTTAATCAAAAATATCTTACATTTGTGTACCAAAGGTGAACGATGGTCTTATGGGTTTGGAACGACATGAGGGTGCATAATTAATGACAGAATTTTCATTTTTGGGTGAACTAACTCTTTAAAGGAATAGTTCACCCAAAAATGAAAATACGGTAAAATATTGATTTCAAGGTGTCTCTAATGCAATTCAGGTCCACAATGAACGTGGTTGTAAATGTGTGTGCATCCATCGGGACAGAGAGCTCATGCTATTTAATACCCCTCCCTGTCCTTGATGGTGGAATCGGAACAGTATGTTTCCATGACGACCAAGACCCAGTGATGAGAGAACAAGGCGCAGATGCAGTGGTTGTCAGGGGCGACCGGGGAGAGCGAGAGAGAATGAGCGAGGCCAGTGAAGTGGATGGGTAACAGCGAGAAACAATTGAACATAAAGAGTCAAACAAAATCGTTCCCACTCAGCTGGGAGATGAAGGGACGTAACCTTCACTTTGCAGTGGGTATGAACGAGAGGGAGAATATCCTAACGAGCGACGATTGGTCAACACGTGCCGTCCAATCTGGAGCAAAGTCACCCTCTCCTTCAAGAGGCCTTTATTTCAGCACTGATTATTTTTTGCTCTACACGCTGCCGTCTCTCTGGAATACGCCGTCCGGGAGCATCAGTGACCACTGCAGCAAGGTGAAAAGTTGAGTGGTGATGGGCGGCACTTAAGTCTAGCATCTTCTATTTCTGATGATCTCACATTGCTGCTCACCTCGTCACCTCAACGGCGACCTTTCGCCTCACCGTCAGACTCGCTGCGGCCCGCAGTCTGGCACAGTCAAGGGTTGCTGTTAAAGCGATGACCTCCAAAGAGATCTATCATCGACAACTAACGCAAAAGTTAAAGGTGCCAGACTCTGCAAGCCACCTGGGGTATACGACAATGCTGTGGGCACAATTCCCAGTTGCAAGCTGGGTAAAAAAATTAAAAACAGGTTCCCCAGAAAGGCTTGTGAAAAACGCAATTAGCGCATTTCGCAATGCCGACGTGCTTCAGTTGCCATGGTGCTTCGCTGAGTTTTTAATAAGCTAATAAGCAAGTTCAAAACAGCGTAAGCCCACCTAGAGCACATCTAGGGAAATGTCTAGGCATAGAAATGGTCACATAATGAGCACGCTGATGTGGCGTCGTACCGCCAATATAATAAACCAACAAACCCAGGCTGCTATCACAAAGCTCAAGGATGTTATTCAAAACCGCAAGCTCTGTTCGGAGCCTGTGAGAGTTTAAATAACAGGCAATGACAATCAGCTGAGGCATGTCGTGATGCCTGTGCTGATTGGACGATTCGTGCTCGTCCAGTCAAGGTTAGCACGTGCTGGGAGGCAGCCCGGGCCGTTTCTGATTTGTGTTGTTTTCAGGTGTCAGTTGGAATCTTCTCAATGCACCATCAGCAACACTGAGCGTGAACTGGTCATCAAATACAATAAAAAAGATTACATGAAACCATCACTCATTGTATATTGCATGCAATTTTTATCAGTGCGCTTGCTCAATTTATGATTGGAATTAACTCCTGGCGGTTTTCTAATGGCATTCATTTGTCTTTTTTTGTTGAGCCGTGCAGAGCTCCCTCAGCGCGGCTGCCCTCACGGACAGAATGCTAAACAGAATTTGACTGACTGATTGATTAACGCCCCGTAGCAGCCTGTCAGCCGTGGTTCTCTTCATTTTGGGGCAGGGCCTAGAACGTGTGGCTGTGACACTGGGAGAGATGCAGATGAGCGGCGAGAGTAATAATGTGAGTGATTGTGTGAGAGGAGGTTTAAAAGTGCTTGAGACAGTGATAAACAAGAGCATATATGGGAGATGAGAGAGACGAATGTGTCCTCACCTATCCACCTGTCATTCCCATACCAAGAGAGATTGCCTTTGGTCATATCGAAGTATCCAATCTTCTTGTAGCTTCCTCCTGCCGAGAGAAAAGGAGAGAGTGTGATTCAGAAATAGTTTAGAGTCAACGTCAAATGGCATTTGCAAAACATTTTTCCTCTATAATGTGACATGTTTTTGAGACAGGATATTTAAGGAGGGAAAAAATGTTATTGACTTCATTTTATCCACTGGGAATTCAGCTTTATGCAAATTAGCAAAGATGCGAAGTGGAGACTACCAGTGGGAGTGCAGGGTGACCCCGTTAACATGCACTTAAGACAACGCTTTATTTCAGCATTCTGAAACATTTTCTTTATGTCGCCTAGTTCACCCTTAAATGAACATTTTCTCATCATTTACTTACCCTTATGTCATTCAAATCCTGTAAGACTTTAATAATATTAATATTCACAACACAAATGAAGAGATCTTTAATATTGTCTCATAATTGATAGTCCATCCAACTAAAACATTAAAATTGCAATCATATGAATAAAGTCTTTATATCATGAACAGGTTTCATTTATGCTTTTGGTTGACACACATGTATAGAGCACATCAAATATGATAAACGGAAATGCTAATGTGGGTGCTTGAAGCACAAGTCCAATGGGGTTTGTTCTCAAGCATCAAACAAGCACATTTGTACAGGGACATGGTAAATGAAAAAAAATATGAAATGGGATGAAAAAATATATTTCAGTGTGTTTACGTTCCTTGAAAAAGTAGTGTGTTTCCCAAATAAAGTTTCAGTTTCTCCGCAAAAAAAAGTACTGAAATACAGTTTTCTGTGCGAAGGCAAAGTTTTTGGGAGGAATGTAATACTCTGTACATTTCAGGTTCTCTTTACCATATTTGATGTGCTCTATGTTTGAATGTTTATATGTAAATAAAAACCTAAACTCAATCTGTTCATCATATAAAGCGATTGTGTCTACTGTCTATATAGAAGACTTGGATTAAACCACATAATTGATATGAATTACTGTTATGACCTCTTTATGAGCTTTTAGAAGCTTGACAATTTTGGTTGAATGGCTAAAAATTATGAGAGAATATTAATAATATCTTAATTTGTGTTTTGAAGATGAATGAAAGTCTTATGGGTTTGGAACGACATGAGGATGATTAGATGAAAACTGAAAAGTCATCATGACCATGCTGTCAATGTGAACAAGGCTTCACTGTTCTCTTAATTCAGAGTCATATCTAGGGATCGGTGTCTGAGTCAGATATTTAAAACTTTTCTGACAATTGGGAGTTGATTCACAACAACAAGAAATCTGTTTGAGTCTGAGTATTTCTGACCGACTCCTTAAAGTCATGAATCATTTGTTTGTGAATCAGACTACCCTGGTCATGCTGAATGTTTGTTGTTGCATGCAACTCAATAGAAAGCTGTTAATTTATTGTCTTTATTTATTGCTTCTCTTTTATTACATTAATTTTAAAGTGGAAATTTAACAAACGTTAATCAGTTCCTGATTCCCAATTCCACCCACTTCTGGAGAGGCTGAGGGTCAAGATCTGTAGAGTATTTAGCTTCTTTTTCAAATCTATCATTGACTATTATTGCAGTAACTTTTTCTCAAATTCAAAGTAATGAGCATTAAATTGGAAAGGTTTTATAAAAGCTAGGTTGCCGATAGCCTAAAGTAATGACTACATTATTTGGCTGTTGGATAACATTAACTAGTCGGCACTGCTTAGGTGAACTAAAACAAAAAAAGAAAATCATTCAGATGTGGAAAAGGTCATATATTTTAAATCATTTACAAAAAAGACCAGGAATATGTTTTACAAAAGTAAACGGTCAATTTTGATTTCACATTGACTTTCAGAGATGCAGGGAAGCGGAAAGTTTTAAGGGAGGAACAAAGGAAAGAGAAATGTCACTACACATTGCTGTAAATCAATATGGTGAGGCTGGATCAGATTTAGGGCAGCCTTTAGAGACCAAACAACACTTGGATTAGACAAACAGACTGAAAACAGATCTATCATCATCAATCCTTATATTCCAGCAGGCGTATCAGCAGAGCTTTTGATGAGAATGCACAATAGGGTCGTTCTCCCTTAAAATCAGCTTTATAGAGAGCGCTGTAATTGCGTACCACCATATCAGCAGTGATCGAGCAAGGACCGTAAGAGGAATTTATCTTCTGTTACATTCTCTCCCTCCTGCTCCAATTCTCTGTTTTCTTTCATGCACACTCTCCCTCTTTCTCAAACACACACTGGCGGGCATCAGAGATCTGTGCAGGGCTCTGAGGACCTCTACCCCCCAAAACAACCAGAAATTAGCTTAAGTGAGAACCATTATAATTATCAGGTGATCATTAAGCATAATTACTCCAGTCAGCTTGGGCTTCCCCCTGGGAGACTTGAAAAAGAGGGAAAAGAAAGGCTCCGGAAGCGCTGTATGATCCAGGCATGAGAAGAAACACATAAAAGACTGTAATTTCCACCATTTAGATTGTATCCGCTTAGCTCGCTGTTGACTCTGGCTATAGATCTTCCTAGTTTCATTCTGAAACTAATGCCATCCAGCAATGGACTCAATGTTCACAACACTATTTAGCCCAACAAAATCCCTTTTTCAAGTGGTGCTTTCTTAGGCGAACATCACTATTATTATTGCTCATCATAATTTGAACATCTAGGAAACTAAAGCAACAACTCAGCAACACATCAGCAACAGCACAACAACACCCTGGCAACCAGCTACTAGGGAAGGGTATCGATTCAGATGTCTCGATTCGATTCGATTCTTGATGTGATTCTCAATTTTTTTATTACATTCAGTGAATATAGTTTTAATACATATGCTATTGATATTTCTAAAAAATGAACAGTAAACATCAGTTTACAAATGGTGAATTAATAAAAAGTAATTAAGAACACAGACCTGTAGTTTAAACCTATTCTTTTTCTTTCTACAGTCCAATTTTTTTAAACAATAATAGGGCCCTATAAAATGTTTTTCTTAATTTTTCTGGTGATCAAATGAAGGCATAAAACAATTTAATTTATCCTAATCAAATGAAAATTAAACTTTTTTTTTTTTTTTTTTTACCTTTTAGAGGTTTACTGTTAAAATTAAAAAGAAAACAAATTATTATTCCTTTAAAAATAAAGTTAAAAATAAAGAGCAGCAGGAGATATTCGTGTTTTGCTGAAAACACAGCATCTGCTCTTTAGTATGTGTGTAGTAAACAAAACGATTACTACATGTGTCGCGCCATCCGCCATTTATTCATTGCGGAAATCATGGCGCCTTATGAATGATGTCAAATGCTTCCGTAGATTTGTAGTATTACTATAGCATTTCACCTGAGCATTGCAAATCACGCACATTGTTTTTTTCTTGGTTCCTGTCAACAGTATCTCCACCATGATAAGCACTGAATGAATGACAGGTTTTCCGTTTTAACATCGCGCAAGGTAAATAAGAGGGTGACATCTAGTGGAGAAGACTAATGATAAGATTCACTTAAATCAGATCTTGTGTTAAATGTTTGCTGAAATAAATTCCGGAAAAGATTGATTCACGGCTTTTCAAAATCATTATTGAATCGACATCATTTAAAAAAATTATTAATTGAAAATCTTTTTTTTTTTTTTTTGCCCAGCCCTACCAGCTACATTAGCATTGTAGAGGTGACTTCTGCATGAGCAAGCTTTATTCACATTTTGGTGAAATCTTTTAACTGGTTAGACTTTCAATCCCACAACACTGACATCTTCAAAGAAGCTCTAAACATCTGTGATGAGGCCTTGGATTCTTGTTAACCATTGCCAGACTAGGCCAAAAACCCAATCTGGACAAACTGCCATATTCATGAAGAGTTGTAGCAGCTTCAGAACCTTTCATTGAGCAATAATGGAGGTCACTGTGCTCCTGTGAACCTTTAAGACTATCATTTTTTTTACACTGGCATCCACATTTATACACTGACACAACTCTATTACAGGTTTATGAAGAGATATTTGAACTTGGTGCAGGTTTTGCTCCGCCATGCACTGTGAACTCTGGGACTTTATATAGACTTTATATGCCCAAAGTCAGTTGTGCTGCTGCCTAGTTTCATGCATGAGGGCACGTCCTAAGGAAACTGGTTTCATACAGGCCCCATGATGTCATTTAATGCTTTCAGGGTAACACTTTAGAATAGGGAACACATATTCACTATTAACTAAGAGTTTTCCCTCAATAAATTCATAATTTGCTGCTTATTAAAGGATTACTTCACTTCAAGAATAAAATTTCCTGATAACTTACTCACCCCCATGTCATACAAGATGTTCATGTCTTTCTTTCTTCAGTTGAAAAGAAATTCCAGGATTTTTCTCTATATAGTGGAATTCAATGGGAGCCAATGGGTTTAAGGTCCAAATTGCAGTTTCAATGCACCTTCAAAGGGTTCTACACGATCCCAGCCGAGGATCTAGCAAAACGATCGGTCATTTTCTAAAAAAAATAAAAATGCATATACTTTTTAACCACAAATGCTCATGTTGCACTAGCTCTGCAATGCGCAACTTCATGCATTGCGGTAATCACGTTGGAAAAGTTGCGTGGTTGGTTCTTCGTCTGTGTACTTCAGTTCAAAAAGGTAGGGTAGGGCGAAAAACTTCACCTCATTTTCTTTTCCAACTTCAAAATCATGCAACATTGTTTTGTAAAGGGCATTTGACTTTCTTTGCATGTTCGATTTGTAAACACTGGGTCGGTATTTCTGCCTACGTCACGTGTTAAATTTCCAACGTGATTACGTAATGCGTGAGGTTGAGCTAGTGCAAGATGAGAATTTGTGGTTAAAAAGTATATAAATTGTTTTTTTGTTTTTTTTTAGAAAATGGACAATCATTTTGCTAGATAAGACCTGTATAGATCGTGTAGAGCCCTTTGAAGCTGCATTGAAACGGCAATTTGGGCCTTCAACCCGCGTTGGTCCCTGTTGAAGTCCACTATATGGAGAAAAATCCTGAAATGTTTTCCTCAAAAACCTTAATTTATTTTCGACTGAAGAAAGAAAGACATGAACATCTTGGATGACATGGGGGTGAGTAAATTATCAGGACATTTTTTAAATCTGGAAATGAACTAAACCTTTAATAGTTAGCAAGGTAGTTGTTAAGTTTAAGTATTGGGTCGGGTTAATGGATATAAAATTTGGTAATGCAGAATAAGACATTAATATGTGGTTTATAAGTACTGATAAACAGCCAATATGCTAGTAATATGCATGCTAATAAGCAACTAGTTAATAGTGAGAATTGGTCCTTAAAGTGTTACCAGTTTTAGTGCTCATGTTTCAGTATAAAAATCATGTTAAAATGTATTAATTAATTGACTTCTTTTAACCTCACCATCAGACCTACACACACAGGAATGTGGTAAATCGCAGCCTAAAAAATGCTGCCTAAACAGAGGTAAGAAGGCAGCCAGGCATGTCTGAATCCAATTTTTGCATAAAATCCAGTCTACTAAGATGTTTTCATCTGGTTGGCTTTTGAAGGCAGAATATATGTATTCCTGTGTGATATCCCATATCTGTGCATGAGGCTTGGTGGTTGGTGGAAAGAACAAAAATGGCATCGTAAGGAGTATAAAATTATTGATAAATTTCCGAGAGTGCATGAGAGCTGTGAAAAAAAAGACTGAGCTAAAAACAAAAAAAAAAATTCAAGAGTCGTTTCTCTGGCTTTGGCAAAATGATTACAGCTCTGGAGCTTTTGAACCTAGGAAAAACAGTGTTTTACCTGACACCTGTGCTACTCTCCAAATGGAGCGAGAACACTGATCGCAGAGTCGTTCATCATTTTAGAATTGAGCAGAAGCAACCATGCATACAAGCTACACCTGCTGTCCACACTCACTCTCATTTACACTTTATTATATCTGTGCCTTACAGTTTTCAGGGGGAAATAAATCATAAAATTACTTTTGTTTTGCTCACCTTGCAGCTGTTCGATGAGGGTCCATGCCATTCTGGAACCCTGGGCGTCAAACACCACATGACCCTGAGAGAGAACAGAAACATTTTTATACTGCGGTGTCTATCGCTCTCTTAAATTTTAGTATAGTGTTATTTATATGCTATTGTGGTATTCATCAATATTTAGATTTTTTTTTAAATATATTTTCAGTTTACATTTTAATTTTAGTTTTACCCTGTAAATATTTAGATTACATCATATTTGAATAATTTTTAACATGTTTTTTTAACTCAAATTTGAACATGATGTTTCTAAACATGATGTATGGAAAATCAAGTAAATCTAAGTTGCTTCAGTCTAGGAAGTGTTCATCTTGAAATATTACTAACGATATTACTTTATTAAAATCAGTAAAGATGCCCACACATGTACAATAGAGTATTTCAGCAAAGTTTTAATCATGTCGATAATTTAGAAGATTGGGTATTTAATATGATACAGCAGGCTTCATTGAGTTAAGTTTTGTTATTGTCATAATTTTTTTACATTTTTAAACTGTTATGTCATATTTCTTGGTTTTTATTTTTGTAATATTTCTATTTATCTTTTTTATTTATTTTTATTTCAGTTTTAGTAATTTTACTACACAAAACTTCTTATTTCAGTTAGTTGCGAAGATAACATTTCAAATTTTTTTAAATTTCTTTGAGTTTAAGTTTTTCATCTAATATTAATTTTATTTTATTTCAGCTTTATTTCAATTAACTAAAATGTTTTTGTTTTAGATTTAATTTACAATAACAACATTAGTTAGCATATTAGTTTTACTGTGGTATCACAATTGTGTATCACTGAATATGAAATATATTGGTAATGACTACTGAACCTTTATTTATGTAGCCAAAGCTGTCACTCACCGAAACTCCCTCGAAGGAGCTGGTGTTGAGGGCTCGGTAGATCTCCGCAGTAATGTCCTTGTTATTGTAATTAAAATCTTCCAATCGCCGTCCTTTTGCCTTCAAAGGCCCCACTGTCTTATTGAGAGCCAGAGCCAGAGCCCAAACCGCATCATACGCCAGAGGAGCTTCCTGAAACCCTCCGGTTTCCTCTGGATTCTTCCCACCCAGCTTGGACATCAGCTGTGCTAGGAACTCCTGCGAGGTCTGGATCAAAACAGAGGGCATATGGTATTATCTGGCATGCGTATGAAAGTGTACGCACATGGGAAAAACTCAGTGCGCTAACAAGAGCTTATGCATGATGGATTTTATGCATGACTTCACTGTCGCTACAGAAGCGCCTAACTGAAAAAAGCGCCAGACTTCCGATGGCGAGAAAGCGAGAGAGGGGTCAAGGTAAGTTACAATTACAGTTCATTACCGTGGGAGTGCATCATATAGATGGAGGTACTTTTCTCCTGGGTGTGAAATCTTCATTCACACACACCAGGACCTGAAGCGCCAAAAATAAACTCCCGCTTTCACACACACTCTGAAGATGTTCCATGTCATTAAGGGGTACTGGGAAAAGAAATAGAGTTGGCACGCACTTATCGCGGCGGCATATGAAAACCGATTTCCTTGACATTTTTCACACCTTATAGAAACAGCTGAGGCACCTTCCTCGCTTCAAACAGGTGCGTTTTAGGAAATGAGCCAAGCTGCAGATGGGCATCTGGTGATTGCTTGATGCAAATGGACAGTGGAGAACGTGTGCGGATAGAAACTGCGCGTCAAGAAGCATTTCGACTCTCTTAAAATTACACCCTCAAAGTGAAGGTAAAGCGAGGATGAGGGGAACAAATTATGGTGTTGTTGAGCCAATTTAGCATGGCCATCTTATCACAAATTTTTTACATAATTTGTGAAGCATAGGTGTCTGGATACGTGCCCAGATTGCTCCGGCTCCAGGAAAACAGCAGGGACATATGAGTCGAGCCAATTCCCAGCACAGAGCACCGGAGTTGGGTGGGCTCCAGACAGCACCCCCTGGAGCTCACACCTGTCCATCCAGTTCTCCCAGGGGGACAGCAGTTGGACCAGAGCATTCTGACCCCAACGGGACTCTTCGGGTTTTCAGATCTGAGAATAGCACGTGCACAGCTAAAGATATGACGGTAGGTTATGGGACGTTCCCAGTGGGGAAACGGAGCCAGTTATCTAAACAGAATGAAGCTTGCGTATGGTAATCTGCTAATCTGAGGATGATGTCATTGTAAAGCATCCGGCTCCAGGAAAACAGCAGGGACATATGAGTCGAGCCAATTCCCAGCACAGAGCACCGGAGTTGGGTGGGCTCCAGACAGCACCCCCTGGAGCTCACACCCGCCCATCCAGTTCTCCCAGGGGGACAGCAGTTGGACCAGAGCATTCTGACCCCAACGGGACTCTTCGGGTTTTCAGATCTGAGAATAGCACGTGCACAGCTAAAGATATGACGGTAGGTTATGGGACGTTCCCAGTGGGGAAACGGAGCCAGTTATCTAAACAGAATGAAGCTTGCGTATGGTGCGCTAATCTGAGGATGATGTCATTGTAAAGCGTGCAGCATATGGGAACACACGGGACACTGGTGGACAGTCATTATGGGTTTTTCAATGACCGACGAGGACATGTGGAGAGCAGGGTGGCTGATGGCCAACAGATACAGAGCATACAGTAATTCACTAAAGCCAAATACAGAAAATAGAGAAAAAGCTGAAACACTTATTCTACACAATATTAACTAATAAAGATTTTTGCTAAGGTTGCTAAGGTTTTTTTTTAGTGGTTGTTAAAAGAGTTATTTTATTTTCGAAATGTAAAACCAAATATGCAGTAATTTGCATTTCCCAGCTGCTATGTGGTTGATAGGGGATTCTTAGTGATTGCTAATGTGTTGCTATGCAGCTGCTATGAGCTTCTTAATGGTTGCTGGTGTGTTGTTTTGCGGTTGCTAAGGTGGTCTTAGACATTGTCAGTCTGTTGCTATGTGGTTTCTATGGTATTTTCAGAATGTATAGGTAATTTGCATGAGGTTTTTGTATGAGGTTTGATCGGAACTTACTATCAAAATCCAGTTGCTAGGTGGTTGCTAGGGTGTTCTGGGTGGTAGCTTACTATCGCAAGTCAAAAAGGTCCACCCAACTGTTATGATATAACAAATTCCCTTTAAGGCCAGTCATGTCACTCATCGGCCATGTTTGAAACGCCTCTCAGGCATGCAAGTGCAACCCCTATCTCTTTGAATGGGGAAACATCAAATTCTCCAAAACTTGTCGCCAAGCTTACAATTAAATTTCATATTTGAAATCACCAATGAAATCTGACAACAACCGTTTCATAAATGTTGTTTCTTTTGCTCAAATTGCATAAAAAAAATATTTTTCAGGATAGACCAGACAGTGTGCATGCGTGGCTCTAAAATCAGTGGTTCTCAACCTTTTTTTCCACCGGGCCACACTATGGTCCAAGTGCAAGTCTCGCGGGCTGCACGCATATCATTTACATATTATGTCAGCAATACAAACCAACCTGATTTATAATATTATAGCCTAAATATTATGATATCTAATCGATTACATTCATTGAAATAAATAAATAATTCTACTCCCCATAAATAACACCCAATTTTGTGAACTTCGGCTCGAAAAGAGTAACAGCAAAACCATAGGCGGAGTTTCACTTTTATGCGTGGGGGGGCACCCACTGGCAGACGAGGACAATTCGGGACAATTTTCACGTCATAGTTCAGACGCGGGCAGGGCCTCGGGCCTGTTTTAGGCTTCTCCTTATTTTTATATTTTAGACATCCATCAATTAGTGATGAAAAAAGATTGTCACGCTGGTGGAAACAACACAAGACCGTGCTACTGTGACTGTCAAGAGCGGCTCGACGGTGTTTAGTGTCCAGCAGCAGCGAGCGTGCCGTCAGCGCAGCTGAACAGTTCTGCGTTCAAATGCACACAATAGGCTTAAGCTTGCCGCAAAGCATCGGCAAAAGTAATTACCATAAATGCGTCAGGGGGAAACAGTAAGGATATATTTTAATTATTTACTAATAAACTAGTGTTTTCTGAGTCGGTGTCGCAAGGATGAAGTTGTCGATCCTGACTCGCCATCTCTTCATTAGACGCACCTTTAGAGAGAAGTGCATCTTTACGGATTATGATCATAATGAAAAAGTTTTTGTTTTTGATGTGTATTATTTCGTTAAGTAGTAATTTAAAGCTTTCTATAGATATATTTATCATGTCTGTGAGGCATGTATTCGCTGAGTTTCGGTTAATTTTTGTGAAGTGCTCCTGTTAAAGAAGAGACGGCAGAAAGCGCATCATGTTTGATTTTATAAAAGCACAACGTTTTGTTGATATTGTGAGTGCACACAAATAAAAGTAGACCTTTTACAGTTACGAATGATGTATTACTCTTACCTTTATGAGCAAAAATTACGGCGTATCCACTGAAAAAAACCGCAAGTGATCGCGCTGGCGCCTCCATGTCCTGCAAAGCGTGCTTCAGCTTCCACACAAACTATTGGATACAGTGCACATTTATCTAGGTTTAACGTTAAAACATTGTTATATGCTTGAACTGTTTTATATCTATAGATTTTATTTTAGTCAAGTCGTGATGATTTGAGAAGGCTAAATTGATCAAACATATGCTCACTGTCTGCCGCTGGCCACTTGGTCGTTACTTTAAATGCGTAACGTTAATTAGGTTATGTGAGTACTGCTCATGTCTGAAAATAATATATGAAAACTAAAATTATTTGACATAAAAACATTCGAATTAAAATGAATTGTAAAACTGAAAGTATTTTTTTTTTTTAATTGTGTTCAGCACGGTGGGCCGCATTTGAATTCGTGACGGGCCGCATGTGGCCCGCGGGTTGAGAACCACTGCCCTAAACACACATCTCCGAACACTGACTGTTTCTATAGCAACCGGGACTTCTAACAGCAGCTGCAGTGACGCACTGACTTTACTGATTAGCGATTGGCTCTATTATTCAGAAGACGGGGCTTCCTTCGATGGAGCGGCCATATTGAGTGTTGCATTTTTCCATTCAAAACTATAAGAGTGCCTTGGGTTTTCTATAGTCTTTGGATATAAGTCTCTACAATATTCTGGTCTCTAGATACGGCTTGTGTTCCTATGGAAGCCTAGTTCGGCCACAAGATTTTAAAAAAAGTATTTGCAACTTTTTATCTCACAAATTCTGACTTTTGAGTTTATATCGCACACTTCTGAGAAAAAAGTCAGGACTGCGAGAAAAACTCAGAATTCTGACTTTTTTTATCACAATCACGAGTTTATATCTTGCAATTCTGACTTTTTTTCCGCAATTCTGAGTATATAATCTGACAATTTAGAAATTTTCTTACAATTGCAAGTTAGTTAATAACTCACAATTCTGACTTTATAACTTTATAAAGTCAGAATAGACAGATAAATTCGCAAATATACTGTATAACAAACTCTTTGAGAATTTTTTTCTCAGAATTGTGAGTTTGCAATTCTGACTTCATAACTCGCAACTGCAAGTTTATATCGGAATTCTGAGAAAAAGAAAAACTCAGACATCTTCATTTTTCTCATAATCATGAGTTTATATCTCACAGTTCTGACATTTTTTTACAACTGTTAGTTTATATCTCACAATTATAGTTTATAACTTTATTCGCCATAATATAATATAAACTTGCAATTCTGACTCTTATAAAATTGTGAGTTCCCAATTCTGACTTTATATAAATTTATATCTCGCAATTCTGACTTTATAACTTTATAAAGTCATTTAATTGTGATATTAAATGTCACAATTACCTTTTTTATTTTTTATTAAGTGGCGGAAACGAGCTTCTATATGTTCAATATGTTCCTCCTTCAATATAACCCTATGGATTTTTTTCACATTTTAACATCCAACAGGCAAAAAACAAAAACCTTCAAGATACCATTCAAGTCCACAGCACAAATGTGGCACGGTCTGGGCCTAGCCCGGGACACAAACTGAGCAATTCTTATCATTAGGAATCAGAAAATAAAGATTATTCAGGCCCACTCACCAGGTTAGAGGCCCCTCGCACCGTCTCTGGATTGAGCATGACTATCTCAGTGGTCACATGACCCTCCACAGCTTCTGTCATCTGCTCCACAGTGCAGTTGATGGATGGATCTTTGATCTTGAACCAGTTGTCAGCATACCAGCCAATCAGAAACCACACATACTTTTTCCCATACAGCTTTTCCTTATAGACCTGCAGTTGTGTTGTGTGAAACAGGTTGGCTTAAGGAACGACTTGAGCCAAGAATGAAAAATTAACAGAAACACCATGTTTCCCCTATAACATTGACAAAGATTAATAATGCTCAGCTGGACGGCTGATTACCGACCTCACAAAACACTTTCCTGGCTTCCGTTTCGTAAAACAGGCCCACAATGATGCGAGCATCTTGCCGCTGTAGGAGCAGAGTGAGAATTGAGAATTAGAACAAAGCAATGAATGCAAAAGTCAGTGAATTAGCATCAGAGGGAGGTTTGAGAGTGATACTATGCATAACACTGCAGTAATTTTGGTTTGGACAAGCAGTCCAATCAGTGCTACTTTCCCCTCTCAGCGGTGTGCTATATTCCAGGTTACCATGGTTCCTCTGGTGGTACTCCATTAATCTTGTGCACCAAAACTAGGGCGGCACACATGGCAGGCCTTTGCTAAACAGGCAGCCAGGGGCCCAGCCGTCACTGGAAAGAGGACTGGGGGGAAACAGATCATCTGACCCGTGTTCCAATTAACATGATTCTCCTGAAGAACGAGATCAGATCCCCACACTGTTGTATTTTACTCCCGGACTTCAATGATGTTCTTTAGCGTGACAGACCCAGAGAGAGCAACAAAGGTGTTTGTGTCTGTTTTTGGGGGAATCTTCAAGGCACCAAAAACCAAAATAAATACATAAATAAATATGTTTTGCTTAAAGAAAATCAATTTTTGTACTGTGATTATATTCATTACTGTTTTCTAAACACATTTCCCCCAAATCTTCATTACCAGGGACTACAGCTGCAATTTAGGGTCACACTTTATTTTAAGGTCCAAATCTCGCTATTAACAAGCAATTAACTATGACTTTTGCCTAAATAAACTCCTAATTTGCTGCTTATCAATAGTTAGTAAGGTAGTTGTTAAGTTTAGTTATTGGGTAGGGTTAGGGATGTAGAATATGGTCATCATGCAGAATAAGTGCTTTATAAATACTAATAAACAGACAATATGTTAATAATTGGCATGATAATAAGTAACTAGTTAATAGTGAGGATTGGTCCCTAAACTAAAGTGTTACCCAATTTAAGACTAAAGACTGTTAAATAAATACATAAATACACTATTGTCCCTGTACTATAAGCAAATAAGCAAAAAAATAAAAAATAAATGTTACACTAGTATTTGTTGTGTTGTTTAAATAACAAATAAAATCACTATATGACATACTATGTTGTTCTTTATTTTGTTTTTTATTTATTTATTTGTTTATTTATTGGGAAATAAATGTTATCTTATGTATTTAAAAAAAACATTGTATTATCATAATACTATAATACTGTAATACTAGAAAATAATAGAAATTACAAAAAATTTAAATAAAAATTAAACATCTGTAAGCAATCTTACAAACAGGCTTAAAAATATAACCTAATCATGCATTCATATATATTTTAGTTTTTATTAATCTGATTTTTGGTAAAGTGTAACCTTGGACTTGTTTTTGTGAGGTTTCATTCAATTTTAATTGAATTTTAAAGTTTAATTCAATGATAAGAGGTTCTACTGAAGACAGTAGGGCCAGTTCAATGTTGATTCAATTCAGTTCAATCAATTATGAACAAATTCAATTCAGCTATGAAGCAGAAGGCAACATTGTCATTATTCAGCTTAATTCAGTTCAAGTTTTGTTCTCATCCAGCAGTCTAAGTGCCCTCAAACTGATGATATTATTGAATATTAAGTGTCTTTCAGACACACTATTTGTATTTGGCATCTGTCTGAGAATCGTGAGATGTTGTTGAGAACGGTGCTGATCTGATTTCTCTAACGCGGCACTGACAGCAACACCTGTACATCACTGTGGCAGCGAGGCCATAAATGAAACGAGTGAAAGTGAAAGCACCTTGAGGTTCTTGACGGCCACAGCAGGATCCGTGAGGAAACTTTGCCTCACGCTGATCTCAATGCCTGCCTCCTTCACCCTCTGCTCTAGATCATCCAGAGTCTGAGCGAAAGAGAGAGAGAACGAGATTAAAGGAGAACAGAGAAAGAGAGGAAGGGAAAGTAAAAGAGCATAGAGACATCTGCAGATAGACGGGAAGTGATGCCGGGTAGAAAAAGAATATTATTGCGGCGGAAAGGCAGAGATAAGACAGGCATGGAGAACGAAAATGAGGGAAGAAAGAAAATTAGAAAGAGACTAGCAGATTTAATTTCTTTTGTTGGGACTTGTTTACTGTTTACCGTCCTGCGTGTACCAATAAAACAAGCGTGTAAATGTTAATACAGTCTGTATAACCTCAGGCTGCAGAGAGCAGGAGGAAACAAAGGAACAGAGCCAAGCTTACATCAGCTACAGCCCACAATCCCACATCCCAGATGTTGTCTTCTACAGCACACAGATACATTTCACCTACAAAGCACACAAAACAACATGCTATACCCTGAAGTAAAACATGTGCTTCTCAAACCCTCAGTTACGTAAAACACAGCCTGTCTGAGTTGCACGACTCAGATATCTGGCATCAGGCAGGCACTCACTGCATAGTGTTTTACAAGGACTGTGTTTGTCCACCCTAGAAGAAAAAAATGCTGTTTGTAATGCAATAAAAATCTAGCCAAGATGTTAACCTAAATCGATGAAATAGATCCTTTCTTGTAAAAAGAAAATACTATTATCAGATCACATTAGCTAAAAGTAGGGTGGTTTCGATGCGAGTTGGGTTTCGATTTGATTCAAAAAGTGTTTTTTGCTCATTCAGAATCATTTGATTTGATTAGATAAACCATTTCATTGATCTGAATCAATCACAGAAATATTTGGTTCATTTAACAATCATTCAATTCAGTATTTGTTTATATGCATGTATAAGATTGTGGTCTTTAAAGAATCTAGTTTCTGGTTCAAACAGTGCAGCAGGTCTGAGCTGATGTGACTAAATGGAGGTGGGGACTAATTTGCATAATCATATTTATTCGCCTTCGCCTATACTAAATGAGGAAAGCATGTAGAGATTCATTCAAGACATTTGAAGGCATGAATATACTATTTTAACTAGAAAAATGTTTATATACTGTATGCTATTTATGTTTAAACATGTTATTTTGATTATCAATATGAGTCTTAAGGGGTATTTAATCATTACCTCATCTGTAAATCACTTTGGATAAAAGCAACTGCTAACCCTAGTGAAAAATAAATATACTAAAATGTTTTTGAAATACATCTATTTAATGCTAAGTATACTTAAAATACATATTTATGTACTTAATAAAAATACCCTGCAATTGTACTTTTGGCATACTAAACCGTATACTTAAAGTCTGCTAATGTTGTACTTAATGCACTTTAATTGTGCAGAAGTAGTGCTTAAGTCCAACTAAAGATATACTGAAGTATATTTGATTGTGCTAAAGCATAACTATTGCAAGTATACTTTAGGTAAACTTTAAATATTGTGCATTTAATGACCGATATTAGTCCGAAATCATGCAATCCTTATCAATAATAACAATAAAACACATTTTAGGCTTAATATTAAGAAACTGTGCATTGTGCACAAGTAGTACACCAAATAAAGTTTAATTATAGTTTTTATATCAGTAAGTCTCAAGCGATATGTCAGTAAATATGTTAAAAGGTTTGAACTAAGTATAAAATAAATGTATTTTAAATATATGGAAATGATTCAATGTAAATGGCTCAAGGACACATACTGTATAATTGTAAAGACAGAAGCAATATCAACTAGATGACTTTAAACTTAAATGTTTTCTGCACAAAAAGTCACCAACTATACAATGATAAAATGTTTTATCTTAGAGAAAATAATGCAGATGTTTCCATGCAATGAAAGCATTTTATTCATTCATTCATTCAGTTGAAGTCATGTAAATAAGGTGGCAGCTGTGAACGATCAGAAACCTTGAAAATCTGTTTGGAAAAAGTTTCAGGGAGTTTGGATAAAAGCGTCTGCCAAATGAATAAATGTAAATGTAATGTAAATGAAACAGAGAGCGAATGCACTCATAAAATAACATGCCTATTTTATATATTGTACTGTACTACGTTAATACATTACAATTCATAAAACTGTTTTAGCATTTTAAATTGATTACTGACCAACTAAAACAAATCAAGATTTTGAAGTTATATTTTAGGTCAAGGTCGATGCAAATGGATTTTGCAATAAGAAACAGGGGAATAGTTTCCAAAGAAGAAAATGTTTTCATAATATTACATCAAAATGTAATAACCCAGCTCTGAAACGATTTTCTTTTTTGCTGACATCATAAAGGCTACTTATTTTTTCAACCACACTTCTAAGTGCAAACTAGGGTTGTGTGATTAATCGAAATCGTCATAAAATTGCGATTTGAGCACGCGCGATTTCTAAATCGCTTTACAGCATGATTTTCCGCGCCCTTGACCTCCCGCAGTATGCTATCCGCCTAAATGGAGCACGAGAACAGAACAGACCGGGCGGGCATACAAACGTAACACCAGGTTCACACACTCCGTCTGTGGTGCGTATTTTGTCCGCGCCCATGTTAACGGATCAGAGCGTTCACACTGCACACGATTGTGGTCCGGCAGTGCGCTCCAGTAGCTATGCATCTGCAGCAGTCATGCTGCGATCGTTTCCGCACAGAGTCTATTTCTGCTGTGCTGCATGCGCTGAAATAAAGTGACAGCGCATTATTCGCGGTAAAAATTAACATGGATTGACACGGAAATTTAGTAATTACACCATAAATGCATATAATTAAAGTCTACTGCTTCACAGTCAACACATGGCTTTTTGGCTAGATTTAAAACAAGGAAAAGTGCACTTTTAGATAAACAAGGCAATAATAGATGGCACTCTTGGTGGTAGTTAAACAAAGTTATATTTATTGAGTTTAAACGTGAATGTGTCTATGAAAGATTGTATTACTGTACTGTGATAAAAGAGAATCACAATGCTGAAAAAGCATTTTCAGAAACAACGTTTGGATTTGAAATCAAAATAATGGATAAATGTTGTGTTTGTGGTAAACAGCCGCGGATCAGGAGCGGACTGCAAACGCGTCCTGTGCGAAAGCAAAATTAGTCCATGCTGCTTCTGCACCGCATACACATACTGTATACACACTGCAGACGGAGTACGTGTGAACTTGGCGCAACAAATCTAGGCAAAAAATGCATGGCAAAAAAAAGCCCTGGACACGGGATTTTTTTTTCTGTCATTTGTCTATTCTAGAGACATTTTGTTACACTTTTACTTTGTGATTATTTTGCCTTATGTCTGTTCTAGATACATGTTACAGCTTCTTGATAATGCTCTAATTGGTTTTCTTTTGGAAATATGTTTCAAATTTACACTGAATGCATTTATGACTGTAAAGCATGATTAAAATCAAAATCGCAAAATTGATAAAAGAAATCGCGATAGGTTTTTTTTGTCCATATCGCACAGCCCTAGTGCAAACCCGACCTGACATAATCCAGTGACATAATCCATTTGCATTGGATGAAATCAAGTCCTGCCATACATTTTTGTCCTCACTGGATACACTGGTTTACTTGGAAATACACTTACATTTCAAATTAGTCACATTATAGAAATGAATTGGGTTTTGAATGTCAGTTCATGCTAAAAACACTTTTCATAACTATTCAGAGCAGGACTTTGGACCAATGGCATTTCAGAGTGGACGGGGCTACCCAGCACAAGGGACATTAAGCATGTGACCAACACAAGATTCAAATGATAATGAATCTCTACTGGTTGTGCAAAAGTCAGCAAGCTTTTCATTGCATGATTATTGCTTTTAAAACATCTGTACATGTAAACATCTCACTCACAGAGGTGAAGACTTCGGTGGTCTGCTGGATAGTGGCGATTTTGGTCCATTTCCACTTCTGGAAGAGTTGTACACGGGTGGGGTTGTGCAGTGTGGCTGAGGGATGCGTGCGGAAGAAGGTGGGGAAACGCTGACGGTTGGAGAGTGCTGGTGAACTGGATCCGTAGGACAACTGCGAGCACATATCAATGGTCATAAGAAACAAGCAATAGAAATACATTCACACATCTCCACTGTACAGACACTAAGGCCTTCGGAGAAAAATTAGAAACAAGCTAGTGAAGAAAAATGTGCAATAAAATCACCCGCAGGAAAACCAGCACCCAAGAGGCTAAATTATCTACCTGCTGGGTTGATCACAGTTCACTGGGAACAGCTTTATTTAACATTGGAGAATGTAGTGTGCGAGACAAGTGTGCAAAGCTGTGATAAAAAGTTAAAATCCAAAACACAGGTGTAAAATGAAAGAAAATGGAGGTTTAAATTTCAACATTTCCTGTTCTGTGTTAATCAGGCAGTCAAATAAGATGACAGTAGAGGGTTTTTGAGCTATTTTGCCAATAACTCAATGTCATTCCCAGATGCAGTGAGATGTCGTTGAGCGACAGGTCTGCTGAGGGGGTGGAAAAAGGGAGGGTTTCAAGGCCAGCGGGGGGATATATAGGTCAAAACTCACATGTGAAGAGAAAAAGCTCTGAACAGATATAAAAATAGAGCAGAGCATGAAAAATAAAGAGACTGATTTTCAAAAAAAAAGAAGAAGTAAGATAAGGCAGTGGGAGTGCACTTCAAAGACGAGCCAAAAGCGAAATCAAATGACATAAATATCTGATCCAAAATGTCTGGAAGCCATTTCACTGATTTCGGGTATTTGAACGAAGTAGGAATGCATTTGGGTAGCTCATCTTCACTGCGGTATAATGTTTTCAGTGATGAAACCTGTTGGAGAGTTCGGTTTGGGATGTACAGAATCATACAGAAGCCATTAAAACCAAATGCCAGTGACTACAGTTACGTTTGCCTCTTTTAATGTTTTTTTAATCTGTCCCTAGTAAGAAAATAACATTTATTTCATACTAAGTATAGTTCAAATCTGTTAACATATTTACTGACATACTGCTTCAGACTTACTGATATAAAAATGTAGTAATTTGGATTACTACTTGTGCACAATGCACATTTCTTAATATTAACCCTAAAATGTGTTTTAATGTCACTACTGATGAGGATTGTATGACCTTTGAATAATATTGGTCTTTAATTGCAAGATATTATGTTATAATATACATGCAATAGTTCCCCTTTAGCACAATCAAATTTACTTCAGTATATCTTTAGCTGGACTTTAGCACTACTTCCTCCTCACAATTAAGGTGCACTAAGTACAAAATTAGTTGTTCCAAATGAGCAGACATTAAGTATACCAGTTTAGTATACCAAAGGTACAATTGCAGGGTATTTTTATTAAGTACATAAATATGTAAATGTATTTGTAGTATTCTTAGCATGAAATAAATGTATTTCAAATACATTTGAGTATATTTATTTTTTTACTAGGGGTGTAAATTATCATGTCAATTTAGTGTATACTATAAGCACATAATTAGATTTTTTTTTTAAAGTAATGTAATTAATCCTGCCCTCTGATGAGCACATTCAATTCATACACATCCTACAATAATGCATTTTTTCAAGAAAAAAATACAAATCTTACTGACTCCAAACTTTTGAACAGTAGTGTATATTTTAGGTATATTTTGATACATTTATGCATGCATTCACATAATCTCTAACAGTTCAAATAATGAGGAAACACATATTCTAAATAAAAAGAAACTATGAAACTTGCATTTCCCAAAACAATCAGAGGTGAGACATGCTATAATTTTCTCAACTTTCTGGTTGCAAAATGAGGTGTTAATTTCATAACTCTTGTATATTTTCTCTAAATCCTTACAGCAAACGATCCCTGTTGAAATCTGTGCATTCAAATCTTTTTATACTCCTCTTTTGAAATTAAACCTATATTTTTTAGGATCCCTGATATTTAACTGCTAGGCTGAATCACCTAATTTCTGCAGTAACTACATGTATTGTAACAATATCAAGTAAAATTGCTTTTTGTATTTCCTCAACATCCTTGCATCGACATCTAATCTGTAAACATTCAAAGCGAATGAGATCTGATGAAGAGGAAAACCCACCACTATGAGGTTCCACATGCGCGCGGCTTCAGCCACCAGTGTGGAAACAGAGCTGCAGCCTGGCATCAGGACAATCTTTATGGGCTCCGTGTACAGCAGGTCATACAGCAGCTTCGTGGCCTCACCAGGATCACACTGAAAGCAGAGAAAAAAACACTTAAATATATCATCTATATTCAGATTTGAAGCACAGCTGTCACTATTCATGAGGCATCCTGTCACTCCATGCTCAAAACTGCATACCTCGACAAAAACATTTTTTCACACTGTACTGTATATACATTTGCCGCTTCAGTATAAGGACCCCCATAGGGAGAGAGACTTCATTTCATACTGAATCACTTAAGTAGAGATAAATATGCATGGGAAAGCAGAACAGAAAGAAGCAGAGACAGATAAAGCAATAAATACATACAGAGGACAGCTGGAGTCCTCCAAGGACACATGCATTTACTCATATATACACCAAAAAACAATGTTTGTTTGCTAGACATGTACTCTCATCAGTCTTTAACCCGACACTGACAATCAGCATCTTTTTTTTCCTCCATTTGTCTTAAAATTATTGTCAATGACAAATCAATATCTCATTTAAATGATAATAGTAGGTTAAAGCCACAATTGATCATGTGTTGAGAGCAAACTGAGTTGCAGGCAGTGGCCTTGGGCACAGCCAGCATTTCTAAAGCTGGGCTTTTGTCGCGTTTCTGTTGTTTTGGGAACAAAGAAAAGCTTAAACAGGGGCAAAACCTAAAAAGAATAAAAACAAACATGAGATTAAAATGATTCAAGGCTTGATTGGTGCAATCACGTAAATTCAATTGGCAAAACCCTGTGGCGGCTGACTGCTCTTTACTTATTGCTGTCTAATCTTGCTTCCTTATCCCGACACATCTCTATTTCTGTAACTCCCGATGCTTTTAATTTCTTCTAAACATCCTGCTAAATTACTCCAGTTATTTCAATCGCAACAAAGAAGCATTTTAGTGAGAAACTGCTTTTCTTTTCAGAATTACAATGATTTCCTGTGAAAAGCATGAAATTAATGTGACACCCCACACAGTTATGCGAGAGAGTTTGTTCAGCTGTCTCTATTGTGGACACATGCCTACACATTCTTTTTAATAAAATAAATAAAATGAGCATGACTGTTCATAATGCGTTCAGGCACATGGTATGTCCTCCAGAGCCTTGAGCAGACTCTCTCCAGACTCCCTGGGGGTCGTCAGCAGAATCATATCCCCAGAACGGAGACTTTGTTTGAGCTCTAAATCTCCTCCCTGTCCTGACTTTCCAACCCTGAGGGAAGTCATGCGTGAGCCTCGCTCTTTTAAAGCACCTGGGTCCCACCGAATCAAAACAACTACAAAAATTGAATTCTAATTTTTTTTTAAAAACACAGAATGCAGATTATCCTGAAGATAGGAGTAATATTTCCTTATTTGATGACTGATTTGACTGCTCAGGTAAGGTTCTAACTACACAGAAAAATACAAATTTTTAAATGCACCTGGGTCCCACCGAATCAAAACAACTACAAAAATTGAATTCTAATTTTTTTTTAAAAAACACAGAATGCAGATTATCCTGAAGATAGGAGTAATATTTCCTTATTTGATGACTGATTTGACTGCTCAGGTAAGGTTCTAACTACACAGAAAAATACAAATTTTTTAAATTTTTTACAAATTCTATTTGTTACTAAAAAGCTATTTGGTGATCTTTAAATTATACTACTTATAATTTATCAACTAATTAGTTTAATCAACTAATTGATTAAAATAATCAAAAGTGGCAGTAAAGCCATTTATAACATTATAAAAGATTTCTATTTCAAATAAATGTTGTTCTTTTAAACTTTATATTCATCAAAGAATCCTGAAAGATTAAAAAAAAACTTTAAGTAGCACAACAGTTTTCAACATTGATAATAAGAAATGTTTCTTGAGCAGCAAATCAGCCTATTAGTAATGATGCTGATCGTGGCCTAATGTTAGAGAGTCGGACTCGTAATCCAAAGGTTGCGGGTTCGAGTCTCGTACCAGCAGGGACTGTAGGTGGGGGGAGTGAATGTACAGCACTCTCTCCACCTTCAAAACCATGATTGAGGTGCCCTTGAGCAAGGCACTGAACCCCCAACTGCTCCCCGGGCGCCGCAGCATAAATGGCTGCCCGCTGCTCCGGGTGTGTGTTCACGGTGTGTGTGTTCACTGCTGTGTGTGTGCACTTTGGATGGGTAAATGCAGAGCACTAATTCCGAGTATGGGTCACCATACTTGGCAACATGCCACATCACTGATAATTTAGTTTTGCATCACAGAAATAAATTACATTTTCCAAATACATTTAAATAGAAGTTATTTTGAATTGTAAAACTATTTAACAATGTTACTGTTTTTGTATCAAATAAATGCAGTCTTAGTGAGCATAAGAGACTTTTGCATAATTATTAATTAACATTATACAAACAACCAATTAGAGAGTGAGTCTGAGTCAAATGTTAACTGCTCTGATGGATTCAGCAGATTCAGTTCATTAGATTGATGCAAATGTGTATCTGATTCATTTCATGATTCTGATTTTGACCCGATTGATTAAAGGAAGTGACTTATAACAGTCATTTGTTTTTAAATCGTAACACACTCACTGCTCTGTTTGTTTCTGCATGCAGTCACAGTGAAGACAACACAGTAGAAGGACATTCTCCCACTCAGCTAAAACATTTTCCTTTTCCATGGTGCTGCAGATTAGAAGCACAGAAAATACTAGTATTTGCTGCTAATAGTAAGTTCACTAAATATGAATAAAGCTTATAAACTCTAAAAACAAATTAACATTTTGTCTCAATGCACTCATTTGACTTCGTCAGACTTGGAGGAAAAGAAAGGATTGAATTAGCTTAATGACACACTCTTTAGAAAACTTAATTGCCTAATTAAAAGTGCATAAAATGATCAGGATACTTGATATTTGCATAAAATTAAACAATATAGCATTTCTGCAGCTCAAACAGTAGCAGAAGGTCATGGGTTTGATTGCTAGGTAATGGATGAACTAGATGTCAAGAATTTAAATTCCCCTATCAGAGATTTGTTTATGTTCTCTAAAATGGACACATTTTCTGCCCAGGGTTTTACTTACAATCTAGCAACCATCTCTCTCTCTCTCTCTCTCTCTCTCTCTCTACACTGTGGAAAAAGCACTGATGAGCTGAAAACCTCAACAAAAAGTTGGAGTTTAGCAATCTCCATTCAGATATTCTGCTCATATTAAAGTATCATACAGCCAGTTTGTGTTCCTTCACATGGTAATTTGCAGTGTTTGTTGCGTAAATCTGCCATTAAATAATAAATCCAAACATGCATCTTGACTAGATTGTGGTTGCTAAATAAATGCCCTTACGAAACCCCTGTGCCACAATCCAATGTTTTGTTGTTGTTGTTGTTTTATTAGAAAAACTAGAATACAATTAAGAATTATTGGAATTAATATTAGGATTTTCACTCTTTTAGCTTTTGAGTTTTATCAGTTTTCATAATGTTGATGTTAAATGACAACAATCATGATCAGTAATCACAATTATAATTGTGAGTAAAATAACTGTGATTATCAGTTTAACCATTATGCAGCATGACTGAAAAGTACATTTTCATCGACTAAAACTAGACTAAAATTCCCAGACTTTTAATCAACTAAAACTTGACTAAACAAAAACAGGATAGGTTGACTACATATGAAAAAAACAAAAAAGGGCATTTGAGACGGGGCTTTTTCCTCTTTCTTACTTTTGGACCGAATGGGAATGCAAAAATTATATTTGTTGTAGATTCTGTTCACTACTCTACAAATTTACCCAACTATGATGACTTCCATTTCTGAGAACCCTGGAAATGAAGAAAGAGTCCACTTTTAAATACTGACTCTACAGCACTGAAAAAAACCTAGAACAAGGGATTTCAGAGTCTCTTCCATCATTCAAATCAGTGGACAAACCCCAAAAACACAATAACGACCCCACGGTGCAAGTGTTAATGCCAAGTGATCTCACACTGGGGCTCTGGGGAAATCAGGCACAGGTCCAGTCCATACTAATAAGCCTGCCCTCCTCGTACCATCCCTATCGCCCCGCGGAGAGTGCCGTCCTCCGCTCCAATCAGAACGGCCCAGAACCGTGCTGGGCACAAGTTTAATGAGACTGCTCCTTCTGTGGCTCAGGACGGAACATTAGGGTCTGAATACCTAAAACCCAACTCAGATTAAATATTCCTGCTCGCTTTATTCCTCCTGATGACACAGCACTTTCCTGCTCTCTAAATGTAGCTGTCCGTGGTGCTGAATCCTAATCAGTCTCGGCTCTCTGCATGAGAGTGTTTCTGTGTGCATGCATTCATTCTGATCCGTAGGGGTCCCGAGTACATCCACCTACCGCTGGGGATCAGAAACGATGCTCTCAATATGTCCGAGTGCAGACGGAAGAACGGCACTTCGTACGTCTATAGTCTCACACCAGCCGGCTAATTTCTCCCATTTATCCATCTGCCTGTGTTTATGCAATAATCATAAAGGGCCATGCTTTTTTCTCTCTTTTGTCAGAGCAATCTGTGGCCTTATGTGTTTGTTTGAACAGCAGTGGTCTTGGTAACTGTTGTCATGCCAACCTCCACCCCCAGTCTTTCCTCCTTCTCCTGTATCTTTGAAGCGGATTTCCAATGCAGACCCGTTCCGACCAATCACGGAGAAGCTCTTAGCAACACCAACCAGTCACAGGGAATTAACAGTTTGCACTCTGCATGTATCTGTATGTCTTTTCTGTCTAAAACTCTGGCTTGCACTCTGCATATATGTGTATGTTTGTGTGTGAGACCGAGAGAAAAATAGAGAGATAGAGAGACAGAGATAGAGAGAAAGAGAGAGAGAGAGAGAGAGGCAGTATGCATTGGCATCTCTTGTGCGGGGGAGGAGGGACGCAGGTGGGAAAGATGGAGATAAGTAGAGAGAGAGTGAAGCAAATGGAAAGATATGAACAGGGAAAGTGGAAGGTATATTGAGCTGCTCTGAATAGATTTTTGCCAGCAAACCTCAGGTGACAGCATAACCGATGAATAATATGATGCTGTAATGCAGCTTTAATGAAGTCATGCTGAATCAAGTACAAATTCCCATTTAAAGAACATTATGTTCATTAGCTTCCTCCAAACCCCTATTAGCATACTACAGCTGACCTAATCTGCTGTAGTAAAATGTAAATTTGCTCAGAAATCTCCTGTGAACACAAATCTTCAGCAAGCCACTGATAATGACACTCCACACTGTTTGAATAAATAACATCAACAGCAAGTAAACACTCTTATGGAATGACTAGTTCGGTGCACACTCAATTGAATGCTGTTAAACAGTTCACATAATGGAAAGTAATTAAAGAGGCTCACATGCAGTGCTCACTTACCATACTGTCATAGTAGATTAATTCAAGCTCATAATCCGGAAGAATATCCGTTCTCTTGTTCACCAGATCCAGGGCCATTTGGGCAGCAGGGAGACAAGCTTGGCCACCCGGCCATCCGCCGCTCATTGGGAACAGGGCTCCGATGTAGAGTTTCTTCTTGCCTAGAACCGGGCAGGACCAGGAGAACAGTAAAGTAAGGGTGGCCAAAACAAAGTAGGAAGTTGATACCAAGCGCCGTCCTCTGCTGTGATGCTGCCAGGATAGTTTGGCCATAGTGGGCATGAGTGTGTGCCAACACAGTTTATGTTCTTGATGTTATTTTACATGAAAGGCAAGGATAGGTTTTTGCCAAGAATTTTACTTTCATAAAAAATATTTTGAACGATATGAATTTCAGTCTCCTTCAATGCTGAAATTATTCATTCAAAATATCACGTGAATGCTGCACTGTCGATTACCCTGAACCCCTATAGCTCTCTGGTATACTTTTGGACGCACTAAAATACACCTTTACATTTTCAACTTGGATGCGTTTACGACAACAACATCGCTGGCGATTCAAAGGCATGTGGTTTTGATGTCTAATTAACGTAATAAATCTGCGGAGAGTCCATTTTAACTATTAGAATCGCGTTAACAACGTCCGCGTATTGAACTAGCCAGTGTTTACGTGAACAGTTATAAAACGTACCAAGTTTCAAATGTTCACCAAAGTTGTAAATAGCCGAAATCAAGTCAGCTGACGTTAAAAGTTAACCAGACGTTACAAACCGTCTAAAGCTGCGGTTTCACATTTAACAAGTGCGTGCGTGCATCCACGCGAAACAACGTTAACGAGCTCGAGCGCTAAAAACAATAATAATGTGTCCTTGTCTCGAGACGTTTTCGTGCTGTAGTCTTATACTCACGCTTCTCCTGAACGCGAAACGAATAGAGCACAGAAATGAACGTTACATGTTTGTTTATAGAAAGCGCAGTGTTACAGACCAGATCCGCTGGAATCTTCTGTGCGCGTCTTTAGACGAAACGAGACGGTGAATTCGGAATGAGAACCGATTAGCGCTGAAAAACTGGAGATGTCTTTGTGGCTGATTGGTATAAAATCCAGTGCGGAAACAAAAGAAGCGATAAACGAAGTCACAGCAGTGAGTGAGTGTGTTGTGTTCGTTGGATGCAGCAGGAGACTGAGAGCGAGAGAGAATGTGCGCGTTTATAGAGAGAGAGACTGTATGTATGTGCGTGTGAGAGAAAGAGAGATAGAAAGGAGTGTGTGTGTGTGTGTGTGTGTGTGTG